TCATCGTGAGGCATATGTCAGTGAAACACCCTGGCTCTGCTCATGTAGATAAAATCAACAGCGGTCTTAGCCCAAAGGGTGTTATCCAGAATTGTGTCCGGTAGTTGATCCTCTCCTCTTCAGATACCGTATGGTACTGGCCGGTAACTCATACGAGAGCCAACTTGAATCAATCATGTCGGCACGTCAGAGGGTTTCTCAAGAAGCCTACATATGACGCCATGTGAATCGGCTCTTGAATGGTGGGAGGGACCTCTTCAATGATGACAGTGGCCTCTTGAACGGTGGGAGGGGACTCTCGAGGAATGATAGGGGGGCCTCTTCAACGATAGGAGTGGACTCTTGAGGGATGACAGGCGAGTCGGGCTTCTTCTTGCGTGTCTTCGCACTATTGGGGTGTACGGAGACTTAATAGCACGTGCACGCTGTCTGATGCGTGAACTCCGTCGTGCAAGCATAACCCGACGTAAAGCATCCACTCTATCGGGCCGCTAAATAATTAAATACAAAAATCAGTAATAAACAGACATGATATTTAAAAGTGAAACAAAGACAATATGTTTCAAACTTGCATTGTATCACCAAGTCATTATTCTATCATAGTCACAAAAGCATCAGATAACAAAGAAAAATATGTTTCAAACTAATACCCTGAAGTTAGTATTTGTCTTTGTTTTGTCTATTGGTTGAAGTAATGCAATCCATTCAAGTTTCAATTTGCAGAAGAAGAAATAGTTTACTTTCGCAACACGAAACTTAAAATCGCAACGCGAAACCAAAATCGCAACGCGAAATGAAAATCGCAACGACAGAACAATGCGAAAATCGCAACGAAAGAATCGCAACGCGAAATGATGAAAATCGCAATGCATGTTGCGAAAGTAAACTATTCTTTCTTCTGCAAATTGAAACTTGAATGGATTGCATTACTTCAACCAAAAGACAAAACAAAGACAAATACTATTTCACAGTGTTAGAATACACAGTTTAGCAGAATTGGCAGCAACAACAAATTTACCTTCAACCAAAAGACAAAACAAAGACAATACTATTTCACAGTGTTAAAGAATACACAGTTTAGCAGAATTGGCAGCAACCGAACAAATTTACTTTCAACCAAAAGACAAAACAAAGACAAATACTATTTCACAGTGTTAAAGAATACACAGTTTAGCAGAATTGGCAGCAACCGAACAAATTTACTTTCAACCAAAAGACAAAACACAAGACAAATACTATTTCACAGTGTTAAAGAATACACAGTTTAGCAGAATTGGCAGCAACCGACAAATTTACTTTCAACCAAAAGACAAAACAAAGACAAATACTATTTCACAGTGTTAAAGAATACACAGTTTAGCAGAATTGGCAGCAACCGAACAAATTTACTTTCAACCAAAAGACAAAACAAAGACAAATACTATTTCACAGTGTTAAAGAATACACAGTTTAGCAGAATTGGCAGCAAACCGAACAAATTTACTTTCAACCAAAAGACAAAACAAAGACAAATACTATTTCACAGTGTTAAAGAATACACAGTTTAGCAGAATTGGCAGCAACCGAATAAATTTACTAAGCAATCTAAGTGAAATGGCTAATCTAAGTGAAATACGAGTAAATTTATCATTAAGTTAAATATGGAAAATCTTAAACTTACCTCGTTGCGTAGAGTATGAACCTCATTCTGCAACGATACTATCATCTCACGTAGAGCGGCAACCTCACCACGTAAAGTTGACACCTCCACACGCCATGCACCATCGTTATCGCGTAGAGTACCGATCTCCTCACGCAAGGCATTGACCTCATCACGTAACTCCCTTGACTCATCCCGTTGAGGTGGAGGTGAGAACAGGGAGATAGGAGTCGTGGCATCTTTGCCGGTCGCCTATCATGAGTGATGGTGGAGAAGAGGCTCGATGATGTGACGGGATAGGTGATGCTCTCGTTCTAGAGGTGTATAGTCGGGTCGATCGGTGATGGCTCTAGGTGAGGTGATGGCTCTCGAATTGGAGGAAGTGGATGCTGCTCATCATCCGTGCCATCAAAAAAACTCTGACTAGCTTGCCACCAATCAGTGGCAAGCTCTTCTCCGTGGGTGTCAGTCTTTGTAATAGAATGTTGCCTCCTAAAATATAAAAACTCAACAAAGTTAAACGTCTACTATTAATAACTTGTTTATATATTATATGAAAGTATTTGTGTTAACTTACATTATTTATTGTCGCATATGGTATTAAGTCTTCCCAATCCAACAGAGTTTTCCTCTTCCAGGAATAGCCCTGGGAATATCATTTGACGTTTTTATTGCATATGTACGCATGTTGGGGAAAGCCTCGAATATCCAAATCTACAAACAATATAATAACAAAATTAGTAATTGTTAAATAATTAATTATATTTTAGAACATTATATAGAAATTCTTACCTTAAAGGCCCAACAAAGCCTGACAAAGTGTATTTGGACCCATCGCCCCGCAAAAGGAATCCCTGGGAATATCATTTGACGTTTTTATTGCATATGTACGCATGTTGGGGAAACCTCGAATATCCAAATCTACAAACAATATAATAACAAATTAGTAATTGTTAAATAATTAATTATATTTTAGAACATTATAGAAATTCTTACCTTAAAGGCCCAAACAAAGCCTGACAAAGTGTATTTGGACCCATCGCCCGCAAACTTTTGCGGTCATCAAAGGCAGACGCACTCCAGTACTTTCCATATACGACCCCACGGAAACAGATTCCATGCATCAGGTCCTCTACCATATTATTAGCTCCCGATGAATAGGTCTGGCCTCTCTGCCTAAAAAGCCGGCATACACAAGTAAAGGCATACTCGGACAACATCGACGTCATCCATCCGAGTGAAACCAGCTTTCTTATTAAACACTTTCTTCAGGTCGTCGACATGTAGGTTCGGCTTCTCCATTGACTCATCCGGAAAAACCCGGATAACCATGATGGGCGGGCGATATGACGAGTGTACCGGCCTACATCTCGTGTCCGAATCGTAGACCAGTGATTAAGCAGAACTCCTTCCGCCCAAAACAAGTAACCTGGTGGAAAATGAAACCATATCTCTTCCTCACCACGTGTATACTGTCGGGTAGATTTGATGTCATGGTCTGAAGCCACAAATGGGTCAAATTAGCATCTCCACCCGGATGCTGTACTCTCAGCCATGGCCCGAAGCAGGTTTTCCTCAAACAATTGTCTTTGAGCAGGTGCAAGCTTCGAGCAATTGTAGTGGCCAGGCTGACTTTATTTCTCAAGGTCAATTGAGCCGAAAAAAACACAAAAACAATAAACATACCATTTAGATATACCAAAACTACACTGTGAAGATATAACCAAAAACATAAACAAAAGTAGTATTTATTCTTGAAACTAAAATTTGCAACACTGTTTTGTCTTTTGGTTGAAATGAAATCGCAACGAGAGAATCGCAACGCGAAATGAAAGCAACTAGAGATCGCAACGCGAAATGAAATCGCAACGAGAGAATCGCAACGCGAAATGAAAATCGCAATGCGATTTTGGTTTTCGCGTTGCGATTCTCTAGTTGCGATTTTCATTTCGCGTTGCGATTCTCTCGTTGCGATTTTCATTTCTCGTTGCGACAGTCATTCTCTCGTTGCGATTTTCATTTATCTCGTTGCGACTCTTCTGCAAATTGAAACTTGAATGGATTGCATACTTCAACCAAAAGACAGAACAAAGACAAAGACAAATACTAACTTGAAATCGCAACGAGAGAATAGCAACGCGAAATGAAAATCGCAACGACAGAATCGTAACGCGAAATGAAATCTAAGTGAAATGGTTAATCTATTATTGAAATGACCAGTAAACTTATCATCAGTTTCAATATAAAAAACCTACAATATGCAAACATTTCAAAATAAAATATTAAAAAACTAACCCTCGGAGGTTGATTTTCCATTTCTGAATATTGTGAGGGATTTCTGACCGTGAATGGTTGTGAGGGATTTCGCCGGATGGGGACGGAAATCTTCGGAGATGGGGACGGATTTCTTCGCCGTAGAGAGTGAGAGATGGAGATGGGGACTGAGTTGTGATTTTAGGTTTTAGGTTATGAGTTGCGATTACGGGATTTTGTCTTAATATTGTTTTTTAATTTGAAAATAATACGCGTAGCGATTATAATGGCGCTTTAAATATCGCGTTGCGATTTACGGATACGCGTTGCGATTTATGTATATCGTTGCGATTTACGGATACCGTTGCGATATACGGATACACGTTGCGATTTACGGATACGCGTTGCGATTTATGTGTTCGCGTTGCGATTTTCATATTCGCGTTGCGATTTTGGAAAATCGCAATGCGAATTTGTACTATCGCATTGCGATTTTCAAGAATCGCGTTGCGATTTTGGAAACTGATTTGCGATTCTTGGGATCGCGTTGCGATTTTAATTTCGCATTGCGATTTTGTTGGTCATTTTGGCAAATCCAAAAAAAGTTGGTTAAAATCGTATATTATAACTTTTTTTTGGTCACTGAGGCGATTTTCTCTTTTCTAAATTAAAAAGCCATTTAAAAATCTAATTTAAATTAAAAAATCCAAGTGTCTAAACTAACATTTTTAATTCGATTTTTAATCAATTTACGGATGTGATTGTTTCTAAAGTAATAATAATTTAAATTTACGAGAATTATATGATAATATTATCATAATCTGTATTTTAAACCCAAATTACTAATCTAATCTTGAACTTTTAGTCCAAATTTATTTTACATTTTATCCAAATCTGAACTTTCGGAATTCAAGGGAATAATCTAATCATATAAATACACGTGTAAACTTGGTAGAACCAACACGTGGTTGTCGGATAGCTACAGTATTCATAGTGGTATTTGCATGCCAAACACGTCCAACACACGTGTCATAAATCAAAACACGTGTCGGAGCCGTCCAATGTCCGAAGTTTTCCTATAAATAAAACACAAGCAATAACTCCCAGTTTGCATAATCATCATCATCCGGCTTGATACAAAGCAAAAGGAAAGTGCAAGAAAATGGCGTCTCATGATCAGAGCTACAAAGCCGGTCGAGCCGAAGGCCGAGCTCGAGTAATCTACTCTTTATCACTTGTCTTCTTTCATTTTCATTCTTATCAATATGTAACATAAAATCTTAGGTATGTTTTTGTATGATTGAATTAATTATATGTATGATTTCGTATTTGTAATACATGTTTGTGTTCATTAGGAAAAGGGAGAGCAAACGAAGGAGAGCATAAAGGAGAAGGGTGAAGCGGCGAAGCAGAAGACATCCGAGACGGCGGAAGCTATAAAAGACAAAACTACAGGTGCTGCACAATCAACAGGTCAGAAAAGTAAAGAAACATCGGAATCTGCTAGAGAGAAGGCGGAGGAAGGCAAGGAGAGAAGCGGTGGAATCCTTCAGCAGACGGGAGAGAAAGTGAAGAACATGGCTCAGGGTGCCACTGATGCTGTCAGGCACAACTTCGGATTGGCGGATGCCGATGACGACGAACACATTTATCCTCCTACAAGGAAGGATACTAATTACTAGGGTTTTCTTTTTCCTTTTTTCTCATTTGAATAATGGTTGCAACGTCTACCTGATGTTTTATGACTGTAACTTTGTTGTTTCTGCTTTTCCTTGATGAATAAAAATATCTTATCAGATAATAATCTTCGAACAACCCTTCATCACTGGATTTTTCTCCAGATCCCTCTCCCCTCATTTCAGGATTAACAACGGGGCCATTAACCAACCTTAATGACAAATCTTTTAGACTTGAGTAGTTGTATTTGAAGCGTATAAATAAGATTTAATGTTTTACATATGTTAAGATTATTATGCGTATAGGCAATTATATTTTTATGTAATCCAAACACCCTTGAGAATTAATTAGAATTGGAAAACCTAATTGTTAGACTCCAATTAATTCAAAGAAATCCAGGAGTACTGTGGTGAATTTGAGTACAGGTGGTAGTGCTCAGCTTGCTTCCTCTTGATGATTGTCAGCTTCTGGAATGTTTCCCTTATACAGCTGAAGGTGTTAAAGAGATTACATTCTTGTGGAGTGGATATTTTCTGTTTAATGGAATCTCGCATTAGAAGAAAGAATTCTGCTAATTTTACTTCTGCACTGTCTGGAGATTGGTGTTTTGCTGAGAATTATGATTTTACGGAAGGGGTAGATTGTGGATCTTTTGGAGGAAGCATCTGCCATTCTCTGATCAGGCTATTTCTATCATTGGGACTGTTGATGGGTATATGACAACTATTACCGCTGTCTATGGTAGCAACAATGGTGTTGTTAGGAGGAGTCTTTGGGAACACTTGAGTATGGTTGAGAATGGCATTGATTCCTCCTCTTGGCTGATTGGGGGGACTTTAACATCATTGTTAAAGTTGAGGAGAGTTCTGATTTTGAGGTCATGGGAGTCCATTGCACTTCTGATATGAAGGATTTTCAAGATTGTATGGAGGGCCTAGAGCTTATGGATCATCCATTCCTTGGTCCCTTATTCACTTGGTCCAATAAGCTTATCTTATTCGGTCCAATAGGCAGTAAACAAGAAGGTTCCTACTTAGCCCAAAAGTTGGACAGAATTCTAATCAATGACCAATGGCCGGTGGATTTCCCAGAATCTTTTGTTGAATTCAAGGCCCAGGGGAAGTTATGACCAAGAACCCTCGGCCTTTTAAATTTTTTAATTGTTGGACTGGCCATGAAAAGTTTTTGGATACTGTTAGGTGGCGTTTGCTTGAATGTTTCTGAGGGAATTGGAATATGTGAAGGAATTGAAATCTGTCAGGAATTGGAATCCAATTCCATATTCTATTTGGTTGGCAGAATATGGAATTAGAATCCAATTCCATATTCTGTGTGGTTCGCAGACATGTGTAAAATGACAGAATTGCCCTTCTTGTTTTTTTTGCTTTATTTTAGTTTGTTTTACGACTTATATGTAGTAATATATTATAAAAAATTAAAAAATATTAAATTTTCATTTTATTGATTGATTATTCAATTCAATAAATTATAAAAATCATGCTAATAAACATCATAAGTTAAAATCATCGCAATCAAAATATGTTAATAAGTTATCAAAAGATAGAACAATATTTCGATACATTCCAATCGGAGTATGTTAATTAGTTACCAAAAAATATACCAAAAACTATTTTTATTCAATATATGAATTAGAAACTCGACCCGACACGACATGAAATAATAATAAAAAAATTTATTCAATAAAAACATTGACTTAATTAAAAATATATATATATAGAGAGGGGTATTATTGTAATTATTCCTAAATATATAAGGTAAAATTATATATTTTTTCGGGTCGGGTCTGGGTTTTTCACCCTAAACCAGAACCCGACCCGAATATCACACTTAAAAAACCCGACCCGACCCGAATATATGAATTAGAAATCCGACCCGACCGAAATAATAAAAAAATTATTTTTATTCAATAAAAACAGTGACTTAATTGAAAAAAATATATATATAGAGGGGTATTATTGTAATTATTCCTAAATATATAAGGTAAAATTATATATATTTCCGGGTCGAGTATTTTTCACCCTAAACCCGAACTCGACCCGACTCGAATATCACACTTAAAAAAATCAACCTGGCCAAAATAAAGTTTCACCTGACCCGACCCGAAATAATAAAAAAAATTATTCAATATATGAATAAGTTACTAAAAGATTGATGAGGGTAGTTTGGTCAAATTTCAATTCCCTCCAACAAGGGAATTGAATTCATTCTTCATCCCTCATTGATGGAAAGTTGAAGCCATGAGGGATTCCAATTCCCTTGGAAAACTTGAACCAAACATGGGAAAATGGTGGAATTGGATTCCAATTCCCACCAATTCCAAGGGATTTCAGCGAACCAAACGCCACCTTAGGGATTCTTGGCAGGCCCAATGTGGTGGATTTGCCATGAGTTGTTTGTTTAACAAGATGAAAAGACTTAAGCCTTTACTTAAGGAGTTTAACTTGAAATATTTTGCTGATATTTCTGATAGAGTCAGAAATAAAAGGGCTGAATTGGAGCAGATCCAAATTTTCAACCTGACCCACACTAATCAGAGGAGGATTGATGAAGAAAGAAAGATTCATGTTGATTTAGTGGACTTGGAAGTTGCTGAATCTATTTTTTACAGACAGAAAGCCAAAGTTCATTGGCTAAGGGAGGGGATTTGAATACTAAGTTCTTTTACCATAGGGTTCAATCTAACAAGAAAAGGAACATTATAAGTCATTAAGAGTGAGAATGGGCAGAGCTATGACTCATTTGAAGGAATGTCTCTTGAGTTAGTGGGTTACTTCACTAATATCATTAGCTCTTCTGACCCTTTAGTTAAAGCGTGCTCAGCTGAAGACCTGAAAGATTTGTTGAATTTCTCTTTGCTTGAAGGAGCAGCCACCTTACTTACAAAGGAGGTGAGTGATTTGGAGATTAAAGAGGCCCTTTTTAAACAAGGAAAGGACAAAAGTCCAGGCCCTGATGGTTACACTTCTAGCTTCTTTAAAGATGTCTGGGATATTGTTGGCAGTGACTTTGTTTCTGCTGTGAGGTATTTCTTCCAAACATCTTGCTTGTTGTCTACTTTTAATGCCACAACCTTAGTCTTGGTCCCCAAGTCCTTAAATGCATGTTTGGCTAAGGAATTTAGGTCTATTTCTTGTTGTTCAGTGGTTTACAAAACCATTACTAGAATCCTTGTTAATAGGCTTATACCTTACTTTCCTGGCATGATTTCCTATAATCAGTCAGCCTTTATCAAAGGTAGGAGTATAGTTGATAATACTCTGTTAGCCCAAGAGATTGTGAAAGGATACTCTAGAAAAAGCCTTTTCTCCTAGATGTGCAGTTAAAATTGACTTGCAGAAGGCTTTTGATTCTGTTAATTGGGACTTCCTACTAACTGTCCTTAAGGTAATGGGGTTTCCTGAGGTTTTCTGCAACTGGATCAAGGTCTATATTACTACCCCAATGTATTCGGTTTGCTTGAATGGCATCTTGATGGGGTATTTTAAGGGGGTAAGGGGTATTAGGCAAGGAGACCCCTTATCCCCTTATCTTTTTGTCATAGTGATGAATGTCCTATCCTCTCTGCTGAATAATACTGCCAAACATGGAATTTTTATATTCCACCCTAAACTTAAAAGAATATCCCTAACTCATATATGCTTTGCGAACGACCTTCTTATTTTCTGTCATGGCTCTCTTGAATCTGTGCTATACTCTTGGCCTGATACAATCAACTACTGGATTTAGAGTGGCACAACTCCCTATTAGATATATTGGGGTACCCCTAGTAACTGGCAAACTCACTGGTAAGGTTTGTGCTGCTTTATTGGTGAGAATTAAAGACAAGCTAAGTCAATGGTCCAGCAAGAAACTTAGCTTTGGGGGTAGGCTACAGCTGATCAAAACTGTTCTGTTTAGTATCTTTAATTATTGGAGCAGCAACTCATACTTCCCAAGGGGGTTGTAAAAGACATTGAGAAGCTTTGCATGCATTTTTTCTGGAAAGACAGTGACACCCCAGCCAGAGGAGCTCGTGTAGGCTGGAATCAGATTTGTTCAATGAAGTCTGAGAGTGGCCTGGGACTTAGAGATCTTTCCCTGTGGAGTAAAGTCGGTTGCTTGCTGCTAATAAAGAACATTCTGGCTAATGATGGCTTCATTTGGATAGCATGGATAAAAGAGCACTGCTTTAAAAATGTGAGTTTCTGGGAGGTTGATTGTAAAGGCCACTTCAGTTGGATTATAAAAAAAGTTGTTGAGTCTTCGAGAGATGGCTAGAAGTCTGTTTTTTCCTTGTGCTAATTGGGGCCTAATTAGTAACAAATGGATATGAGATAATATCAGAACAAGTAGGGAAAAGGTTAGCTAGAACAAAATTATTTGGTTTCCTGCTCATATACCTAAGTGTTCCCTTATTTCGTGGATGGTTATCCTCGATAGGTTGCCTACTAAAGATAGGCTGGTTCGGTTTGGCTTGATTATGGAAAATGGTTGTGTTGTGTGTGGTAATGGTATGGAAACCCATGACCATCTTTTTGCAGATTGTTCATTTACTAAGGAAGTTTGGGATGCTATTCTTGATTCTTGTGGGATTCGTTCTGGTTCGTGTAGCTGGGATGAACGAATGGATTGGATGGTTGAGAACTTGAGGGGAAAATCTCTCCGAGTGCGGATCCTCAAGCTCGCTTGGACTGGTTTTTTGTATTACATTTGGGAGGAGCGTAATCACAGGATTTTTAGGGGGTTATCGCGTTCAGTTGGTGTAATTGTGAATAAGATAAAGGAGGTTGTGAAATAAAAATTGTACGACACTACACACATAGGATAGATGATGTAAATAGGCACTTGTACATAAGTTGAGGACTGATATAGTGTTAGTAGTTATTTTGTAGCAGCTAAGCTGCTTTCTTTTGGATAAATAAATTATTTATCCAAAAAAATAATTCAAAGAAATCACAAGTCATAATGGTTGGTAACACATATGAGTCCATTATATAAATATAATATGGTTAATTAATTATTGTAATTCGTAGATTTTATTAAATTACATGTAATTAATGTTTTTAATTATATTTTTAGTAAAAGGTGAAAATTAACATAATTAAGTATAATCTTGAATTATTTTTATTAGGAGATATTTATAAATATTTACTTTATCTATATACATAAGTACAATTGTGCATGTATAATTTGGAACTTCAATTAGTCAAAATTTTAAATTCAATTAAATAATATTTTTTATAAATTATTTTGAATATCAAAGTTTTAAATTCGTTTAAATATTTTTTAATTTTATATTTTTATTTTAAAATAATGAAATTTTGAATTTTGTATAAATTATTTTGAGTTTGGAAATTTGTGATTTATATTGTTTTAGGATTTTGGGACACAGTAAATTGATATCCATAATACTTTTTATTGAAGATTATAAGTCGTTGTCGAGTTTAAAGTATTACAAAGGATATATATTTAGTTAAAATTATTCACCTACTAATATTCAAAAGAAACATATATCAATTATTTTGTACGAACATAATATAATATATATAATTTAAGATTTAATTACCCTACACATCTTCAACCTAGTTTTAAATATTTTAATTTTATCCTCAAATTATGGTTATCATTCTTAATTTACTTAAACTCTAAAACGTTCCAAATTCACACTATGATCGCTATTCTAAATTGGTCCCAAACTTTTGAACGTTTCAATAACCTCCCTTGAAATCATTCAAGCATTAATTTGAGAATGATATTGGAAAATTCAAAAGAAATGAAGATCATTGTTTGAGGATAAATTTAGAATGAAATTCATAGTTTAGGGATGAAATTGGAATGTTCAAAAGTTTAATGACTAATTTAAAATGGGAGATAGTTTTGGGATATGTAATGTAAGTAACTCATAATTCATTTATTTTTTGAATAGTGTGGGTAATTACAACAAGGTAGTCAGAGACGGAGGGCCCTTGGGGCCTAAGGGGTCCCGACTCCTGCTCTAATTTTATGTTTTTTACCCTAGTACTAATATAATTGTACAAGCTGACAAAAGACTTATAAATAGAGTAAAATATTAAAATATTCCATAGAAAAGCCTTGAGTTAATCACCATCCCATCGAGTAAAGCTCCTCTTACTTTAATCTGATTCTCCATTGTTTCACACTCAATTTTTTAAAGGAACGTAATTAATAATATAATATTTATTATTTTTTGATTAAAATTATTTGATCTTATATTTAATTTTAGTATTCCTTTAGTTAATCTAATAATTGTTAAGGTGAATGGTGATTACTAAATTTGATTTTTTTTATGTTCGTTAATTAATTTTATATAAATGTAGCTTGCCATGGGAAAAATCCAACAATTATTGAGCTTTTTAAGAGAAAAAGCGGGGAAACTTCGAAAAATATAAGTACAACAAATGAAATTTCAACTGGTACACCTATTGACGTTTCACCTTCGAAAGATAAACTTTTAAAGATAGCTAAAAATCAAAAACCAAGTACCAACTCTAATTACTTGGAGCGAGATCCTGGTAAGTGCAAGCAAATATGAGAATATGCTTCTGAACAAGAAAAAAAATCAATTTGAAGAACTTATATTGTTTAGGGTCTGTATCAACCAGTACTCTCTAAATTCAAAAAATCTAGACATGTTTCTCACCCTCGTCGATTTCAAGCTTCATGGTACAAAAACTTTCATTCATGGGTAGAATATTCTCTTGAAAATGATATTGCCTTCTATTTCATTTGCTTTCTTTTTAACAAACCAGATAGTCATCCATCACACAAGACTTTCACTATGAATTGGTTTCGAAATTGGAAGAAAGTAAATGGAAAAAAATTATTATTTTAATATGCATGTAGGTTCATAACCCAATTCACCTTAAAAAATTGTTGAGCAAGAATTCGAGGAATTTCTTAACCATTCTAGACACATGCCAAAAGTGTTGCATAAGCAAACATCATTACAAATTGCTAATAATAGACTTATACTTGAAACCTCTATAGATGCATTGTGTTGACTAGCTTTACAAGGGCTACCAATGAGATGTCATGACGAGAGTGAATCTTCATCTAACCGAGGAAATTTTCTTGAACTCGTGAAACAATTAGCCTTTTTAATAAAGATGTTGAAAAAGTTGTATTAGAAAATGCTCCAAAAAATGCTTCTTACACTTCTTCTGAGATACAAAAGGAGATTTTATATATTATGGCAGAGAAAATTAAGAAATCAATCCGTGAAGAAATTGGTGAAGAAAAATTTTGTGTTATTATTGATGAAGCAGGGGATGTATCAAGAAAACAACAAAAGGCTATTATTTTACGATATATTGATAATTTCGGTCTAGTAAAGGAATGTTTTTTATAGCATTATTCATGTTCCTAATACTTCAGCAGTGACTTTAAAAGATGAGATTTTTTTCGTTCTTTCTCGTTATTGCTTTGACATAAAGAATATTAGAGGCCAAGGTTACGACGGTGAAAGTAACATGCGCGGAAAGTGGAATGAGTTACAAGCATTAGTTGGCAATGAGTGTCCTTTTGCTTACTATGTGCATTGTTTTGCCCATCGTTTACAGTTGGCACTAGTAGCTGCAGTGAAAGAGGTCATACCTATTTATCAAATTTTGCAAGTTATCCTTTATTATCAATGTTGTTCTTGCCTCATATAAGCGCATAGATGAAATAAAAAATGCTTATTCCGATGAGATAAACCATTTGATTAAAGAAGAACAACTTCAAACTGGAACTGGTTTGAATCAAACAAGTAGTTTGCAGAGGGCAGGTGATACTCGATGGGGTCTTACTTGAGATCAATTTCAAGCTTGATAAAAATGTTTAGTTCCACTTGTGTTGTTCTGTATAAACTCATTGATGAAGGAAATACATCTTCTGAATGTGGAGGAGATGCGACAGCTTTAAAAACTTTGACTTCCTTTGATTTTGTCTTCATTTTACATCTTATAAATAAAATATTAGAAATCACTGATTCACTTTCTCAATCATTACAATAAAAATCTCAGGATATTTTGAATTCACTACATCTTGTTGAGAGTTACAAGATACTTTTGCAAAAATTTAGAGATGATGGATGAGGTGGAATTATCTTGGAATTCAGGTCTAAGAAAATTGTTGACAATTTCTGACCTAAGTCATTGGTTGGTGCATACTAGGAAAACACTTATCCATATATATTCCGAACGGTAAAACTTCTATTGACTCTCCCAATTTCTACAGCAAGTGCTGAAAAAGTTTTTTCTACAATGAATATCATCAAGACAACACTTCGCAACAATATGAATGATGAATTTTTTTAGAGTTGCATGCTTATCAACATTGAAAGAGATATTGCAAGGAGCTTTTGTACAACATCGCTCGTGGATGCATTTCGATATTTGAAGGAACAAAGCATTTTATTGTGATTATGTGATAGTTATGTCTTTTGCACTTTTTAAAATCATATTTTTTTATTATTTACTTTACTTTAATTTTTTAATTTCATATAAATATAGAACTATGCATATTTGATGTTAACATTTATATTTTTTGAAATAAACAAATAATAAAGGTAAAATTATATATATAACTAAAAGTTGTTAAAAAGATTCGACCTATGTTGAAATCTAGTTTTGGCTCCGTCCCTGAAGGTAGTCATTACAATGTAGTATATCTTTTTTAATCATTGACAACCCACATTCTCTGCAGACACAACTATTTGAATCTAAGACCGAGAACAACACTCATTTTAACTATTGAGGTCACTTGATCTTTAGAAAGGACAAAACTACTTGTAACCATTAAAGCCACTTGATGAGTTCCATAATATATTTCTATGTTATATAAACGCGTAACCGTGCTTATGGAGAACTGGATTTCACCGAGAGTGGAAAGATAATTAATTAATCATAATAATATATATTTAAAATAAAAAAATCGATTAAACTAAGAAACTACTCAAATCAATTATTATTATCAGTATTTAATGATTGAAGTGATTAAAAGATAATATCTATTTAAAAATTCTCAACCATTACAATAAATACTTAAATACTCTTGCAAATTTAGTACTTGAATTCAAAACCTCTAAAGATAACAATTATGTATTTAATCACTAACCTCACTTGATTCATGTTACTTGTTTCAAATGTTAAAATACTCAAATTCTACCTACTTTATAGCATAAACTTGACATACCAATGACCAAATCATATTCAACTTTTTTTCCCTTCAAAATATTCAAACAATTTTATGCTACAAATGTCTTATATAATAGACTATTGGTAGTAAGTGACGTGATGGGTTGTTTGACTTCTATATATCATATTTTTTTTAAATAAAACTATTCAAGAGTTATTGAATTGACTTCTTCTTATTTAAATTTCAAACCAAAAGTCGGTCTTTGTATTTTGCGGGGTCAAATGTAAAAATTGAATTCAATTTGATAATATTGGGATTAAATTTAAATTATTAACTATATAAATTAGAACATCAATATTCGGGTTATTTTATTTTATTTTATTTTTATATAGTAAAAAAAAGTACAAAAAATCTTTTGATCATTTAACAACAGATTTTTAAAATTATTATTGATTTAACATTTATAAACCTTTACATGAACTGCATATCAAAATTTTTAAACGTTTAATAATTTAATCAGCATATCGGAAGATCAGCTGGCGGTGGAGGCAAGGTTGTTTCCGGAGTTGGTCCGTTTTCAACCACGAAGGCTGTGGCCATCCCCATTGGCACGTGCGCCTCAATATGGCAATGCATAAACCATACACCTGTACATTTGATATGAACCGAAACAATATTAATGTTGAATTCGATAATCATTTTTTCCTGAATAGAATTGGACGATTATAAGGTATTATATGTAAAGAATTATTTTTAGTTATTAATAATAAAGCATATATTGGAAACACAATTATTCGAATTCAATACCTTTAATGAAAACATTCTTTTTATTCATTGAGATTGTTTAAGGGTTTAGTTCGATAAATATTTTTACCTCCATTGTTAACCTAAAGCTATCATAGTGTTTTTCAACCAAGCGCTAAACAATATTGTAAATGAGGTTAAAAAATTGACCTGGATTGTTAGCAACGAATCTGATGACAGCCCATCCTCCAAAAGGCACGGCAATGGTGTTGCGCATTTGAGGGTTAATAAGGTTGAACTTTCTTCTATCTGTGGTAGGGTTATAGTTTCCAAACCCTTGAGCCAAAACATAGAAATTAAAGCCATGGAGGTGCATGGGATGATTATCCCTTCCGAGAATAGCTATGTTCTGCAACACCATCTCCACAGTGGAGTTGAACTTAAGCTTGGTGACCTTGGTTCCTTTTGGAGCAAATAGCATAGGCAGGTTGTTGTTAATGGCTAAGTTTGTGTAGTCAAATTCAATCGGAGGCTTGGCAGGGAAATCGGTGGTGTAAACTCCTCCGACGTTGAAGTAAAAGGCTTGCAACATAGACAAGCCCGTAGGTAACACGAAGGATTCATTGTTCATGCTGGCCGAGAATCTTGTTCCCCTAATCGGACCAAGACAAGTTGTGTTTGGTGGGCAAGCTTCAACCGCCATGCCGACGGTCACGAACATTTCATGGTCCACTTTAAGTGGGACAGGGTCCCAGAGAGGCCAACTGATCAAACTCGTAGGGTTAGTGTAAAACTTATGAGCCGTGGGGGTGTCGTTGAACGACGGTAAGAGTGGCATCAGCGGCTTTCTTGAAGATGGTGCACGGTCGTAGACAATGACACCCCTTGTCGTAGTATTATCAAACGGTAAACCAACTACTGGTGCATATGGTCTAGCGGCCATGTAATACGACCCAACCGGCTGATCTGCAGTTAGCAAAACGTCGACCGTCTGGCCAGGGGAGATAGCCAACACGTCGGTGACATACGGGTTGGTGTAACAAGCATCAATGGCCACAACAGTCATCTTATGATTGGCTATCTTATAAAATAGCTGATTCTCGACAGCACCATTGATGATACGTAAGAGATAGGTCTTCCCTTGCTTCACCTTAAGCTTGTACATTTCTGATCATTGGTAACCAATCATAAAATTAAATTAAAGATTTATATTTGATGCACCGATAACTAATAAATTTATATACTTACTGTGTCTAGAGCATGGATAGAGATCACCGGGCAATCCATTTATTGTATAAGCATCGGAGATGTTCGGACCAGAGCCGAGGGCTATAGCCTCCCTGTCAACATCCATGACATTAGTATTCCACCACTCACCTGCAACCGCATTACTATTTGTTAGCTGAAACCTAGAGCCATGGAACATGATGAAACTATGTATTAGGATCCGGTGGGTCAATATACCTAGTAGGATGGGAACTTCCCTGTAGGGCTTTGGGAATGGGTAAGAGTTGCGAGCTCTGGGGCGGATGATGAGTGCACCATACACGGTGGCACGGATGGCGGAGAGATGACCGTGCCACCAGAGGGTTCCCTCCTGTCTAATGATTTTGAATTTGTAGGTGTATTTAGTTCCGGGGCGAATTGGACACTGAGTCACCATGTCAGGTCCGTCTGCCCACGCACTCAGCATCTGAAAAATTCCATGCCTGACCAAGCAACAGAACCTTCAGAAAACCAAAACTGAAGCCGATTTGACAAAGTATGAAAATTGTTGTTTTCGTCACGAAAAGACATCACGAGGAATAAGTCAATAATTTCACACAAAAAAAGGGTAAAAATTGTGTAAATTCAACTGTATTTTCCATGAAGGTTTACCAGTGAATAGTCAAGTTATAAGGTGACTCATTAAATACATGAATAATCAGTACGTCTCCATCTCGAGCATGGATTGTAGGACCAGGGAGGCTATCATTTACTGCAGTAATCACCTGGCTATTGCATAGCCTATTAAGAGTCCAATTTCTCACCTGCAAGCAAAGTTAAATTCCATTATCTGCCTATAAGCTCAAACTGTAATGGCTAAAAATCATAGAGGAACGAGAAGGGTGTGCTTAAAAAAGTCAGTTGGATTACATTGAATGTGTGCTCCACTATTCTTTCACCAGAAGCAGTTGAAGCAGCCACCAGAAGAAGCAAAGAGCAAGCAAACAAGTAAACATGGCAACCCATTTCGATTGTTCCAATAACAAAGAAGAGAAGGGATGAAGAATCAATAAAATGCTTTGCTAGCTGTGATTGGCAAAAGGTGGAAGACGGAGCTCCAATTTATATTAGAAGCTTGAGGTTTCCTCGGTGAACTTTCGTTATAATTTATTTAACTTGAAAGAAATCGTTTTTTTCCCTTTGTGATAAAGATGTCAACTCCACCCTTGCAAATTAAATATTAACAAAGCCTAGCTTTGAACTGGGCAACCCATATGTTGTTCAGAGCCTTTATCTAGGCGGTCAAGTTTTCCATTAAAATAAGTTATACCATGAAATTTGGTGGTAGAGTTTGGGAGGATTAACTTAATATTAAAAAAATTTAGAGGTTTAGATTAAAATTTTAATTTTTTTTTTGAAGAGTTTAGTTTATATTTTTTTTTCAAAAGAATTAGAGATTAATTATAATTTTTTGAAAATTTGAGAGGTTTAAAAAGAATTTTTTTAAATTATGAGAGGGGTTTAATTAGGAACATTAGAAAAGTTAAAATTTAATTTGAATTTCTAAAAATTTAGGGGGCCAAATTGAAATTTTTGAAAAATTTAAAGGTCAAAATAAAAAAAATTAAATTTTGAGAAACCATGACTCCATCTAATCCAACTTGTATTCCGCCCGTCTACATTAAAGAAACAGAGCTTGTATTAATCAATCTATAAATTCATACTACCTCAGCTAATCATAATTCTTGTATTTCTTTAATTGATGACATTAATAAGTTTCCTTGGTCAAGGACGTTTTGTAAGTTAGTGATACAGTATACACTCACAATGTATTACAAATATATTTAAAATAATATGTAGATTGATATTTTTATCATTTCAATTCATAATTTAAAATCGAAAATCGACTAAACAATCTATTAAATTGATTTTTCAAAACGAAAAACCACTGAGAATTCATTCGAGGATCCTAAATAGGACGTGGTTCGGATTGATCTTTGAAACGAAAAGCAATTTATAATTGAAATTAAGATTTGAATTTATGATTAGATGTTTATTACCAAAAAATTTAATAAATTTTTAAAATAAAATGTTAATATATTATTTTTCAAGTTGCTCACTCGCTTTTCGAGTCAAGTATCAAATAACTCGTTTCGACTCGTTAAGAACCCGAGTCGAGTATTTATTGTATTTTAATCGAATCAATTCAAATAACTCACGATTTATCTCGTCTCATTTACAATACTATTTATTAGCATTATTCAAGTCATGATGGACTCATATTAGTAGTCTAATAATCGTTTAATTGTGAAATTATTGTTTTTCTGATTTATTTTATTTATAAGTGGGAATATTTTATGACTTTTATTTATTCTAATTATTAGTTTAAATCGTGTTTAAGGTCGGTTAGTTTTTTAATAGTTCTTTGAATTAATTAGTTTTTTTCTTTGTTGAGATTTTGATTAAATAATGAATTTCAATTCAATATTATTGTAGCTATTAAATATTCATATATTCCATGAACCAATAATTATTATTTATATAAAAAATCATGTCATATTAATATATACTCAACTTGTAGTAAGTCAGTTAAAAAAACTTGTAGTAAGTCGGTTAAAAAAAAACTTGTAGTAAGTCAATAGTATACGTTTCCAATTACTGGGTCATCATTTTCTTATGTTTTTTTAATAAAAATAAAAAATCAACAAAACCCAATAAATTAAATTAGTGGTTATTGATTAGTATAAAACCTTAGAACTTTGGCCATTCAACTCGTTATAATTCAACACTTATAACTTAGTCAATGAAGAAAATATGATTTTTTTTGAAGTATTTATAAATTATAAAAAAATAATTTTTTTAAGGTATTAAAAATTTAAATATGTTTTTTTAATATTCTAACTATTAATGATAATTTTCTTTGGTCAAGAAATAATACTTATATAATTTAAGAATTTAAAAGTGACATTGATGATTTTTTTATATAAAAAAATAACATTAATAATTTGAATTGAATACAAGAGCAAAAATTCCCTTGAACCTAATATATACTCTGCTTGGAGTAAGTCAATAGTAAACGTTTTCCATTTCTCAATCGTCATTTTCTTATGTGTTTTTTAGAAATAAAAATTAAAACTCAACAAAACCCAAGTAATTAAATTAGTGATTGTTGATTGGTCCAAAACCTTAAAACTTTGACCATTCAACTTGTTATATTTCAGTGTTATATGTCACGACCCAAGTCTTAAATCATTGCACTTATAATTTAGTCGATGCAGAAGACAAACTTATATAAAATATAAATATAAATTTTTACTTTATTAAATTAAGATACATATTCGAAAGTATTAAAGATTTATGTTTATACAATAACAAACACATAATTTTATATTTGGAGAGATATATTTTCAAAATGTTTAAAAAAGAATAAACTTATAAAATTATAGGGGTGAAAACAGATTATTAACGAAAAATAAAAATTATCTAAAACATATACTAATTTGAAATTTTTAGAAGATGATGGTCTCCTCACCTTTAAATCCATCCCTGTTTATCAGGTCATACAGAAACATTTTCTAAGAATACATCATAAAGAAACAAAGTCATCCCTTGTATTAGGTTGCACGTTGACTCATTATTTTTTCCTCACGTACCAGAGTAGGATCAACGATACCGCTAAATTTACTATAACTAGCTTAAGAAATGCGTGGATTAATTTAATTGCATTATTAGTCAATGTTTAGACTTGGTCTAATTTAAATATGATATCAAATAGTCTTCTATGGAATTTTCATTTGATATCATGGTTTTTATTATCACGAAAGTAATATATACAAGAATAGATATAAGATTTTACATAATTTATATATAAATTTTGTACATTCAAAAACGAACATTTAAAATCTTCGTTTTTGAACGTACAAAATATATGCACACTATAGGTGCAAACCTTTTTAAAAAAAGGGGAGAAAAAAACCTTCATTCACTTGAACCCAAGAAAATTCGAAACTTAGCCGGAAGAGAAAAATGCTTGCCGTGTTGAGGTGGACATTATGTATTATTTAAGAACGTCTATAATCAGAAAGATGAAATTGTCCAAGGATGTTTAATAAATCATTTCATTATCTTTTACCTAATATATTGTTGAAAAAGAATGTTGAATATGATAAATAATTGGATATATCCTTTTTACTTAAGTTGAAAAGATTAAGTTGATTTTACTTTTATGTAATTTGTTTTTGAAAAACTTCAAATGATTATATTTATCCTAAAATCTCAAAATTATTTAAATTAATATATTATACATTTAAATTTAAGAATTTCAAAACTTAGTATTTTTATTAAAAATATAATTATGTTTAACAATTGATTTTAAATTTGAGTGTAACATTTTCTTTATTTATATATATATATATATTCTCTACAAAAGAATTTATTAAATATCATATACGCCTAAACTCGAGTTGTGTGCATCGTTAAAAACATTTCTACACCTAAATGAAGGAAAAGAATACACCCAGCCAATCCAAGGCATCAACAAGCAGAATACATCATCTTACTTTAAATCAACCTGCTACTCACTATCCTTAATAATAACACAGATTTAAGCAGACCCAAACGAACGCAAAAACTAAACACTTACCATTACTATCCCGCCTTGAATATTTCATTTCTACTTAGACCCGCTTTTTCAAGGTGATCCGCCATGGCTCTCGTCTTTCTTAAGGCATAAACGAACTGATCTCTCACAATCTTAGTTATCAATTGAATAATTTTCTCAAAAAGGTTCCACCACATTTTGGTCAAAGAGTGATAGACAAGATTCAGTTCAAGAGTACTTAAGAATCGGTTTCAATGATCAAATCAACTTTACCTGTCCACCTCGCTTCCACGAATCGAGCACAGCATTCATCGCTCAGAGAATTGTAGTATGCAAAATTAACTTTAATTAATCAGAGGTTTGAGAAATGTCAAGTTAATTTAAGAAAAATATTGAAACTTATATAAAATTTGTGAGAATTAAACCACGAAAATATTCATGTTGAACGGTGACGGGAGACGATGATTGTGAAGAGGTGAGCAACAGTAGTAAACTTTAGATTTAGAGTTTTATTGGACTCGTTGAGTGGACTTAACGGTTAAAGAAAAAGTTATTCTCCCTTGAGATACTGGGTATAAGCAGTTATGTCTGCAGAATATGTGTTGCATTATGTTAAAAATTTGGCTTTTTGTTAAGTTGCATTGTTAAATACCTCATGTATCTTCTTGGCCATCTACTAGATCCATTTATGTCAAAAACTAGTTTGCAATACTAAAGAAACAACTCCAATTCAAAATCTAATGTGAGTTCTCAGGGAACATCAAGATTAAAAACTTATTACTAAAAAACTAATACAAAATCAAACAAGAAATTCAAAAGATATCATCGTAGTTATTTTAGTGTGTCATAATCCCACTCGAAAATAAAAAAAACGTTGGATTTAAGAACAATTGTGACCGAAAAACAAGTAATATGTGGATGGTAATATCTAAAAAAAACTTGTATGATCTTGCACTCATAGACATGGATTATGGAAGAAAAAAAAACAATAGTGTCATAGAGAGACGGAATGAGGGGAGAATGGTGGGGCGCTCGCTCCCCCTAAAAATTTTAAATTCTATACATTTTAAATATTTTCTTTTGTATTTCAATTGAAAATTTATTTCCTCCCCATAAAATTTTATAAGTTCGTTTTCCCTTAGAATTTTATAAAACGTCCCCCAACATAAAATCTTACGTCCGTCCATGATGACAGAGGACGATATGAGTGATGCGTATGCATTGATAGAACAAGACAAGATGGAACAATGGTAGAGTCATCGTCGGTTAAATAAAATGTATAACAAAGTATTTCATGGCTTCAACAGATCGTCTTGGTGAAGAATGGCATTGAGAGCTATTGTTAACTCTTGAAAATAGTTAATATTCGCATTGTTAAGACCTAGTCGTATTTAAATATTTTAATTTCATTTATAACTTTATTTAGTTAATATTGCATGCATTTTACTTTGGAACCTGGATTACACTTAATAGATATTAATCGTTGCTTTAATTTGATCGTTTGTTGGGTAGTTTTGGTGTCGGTTTGATGCAGGTTGAAGCAAACAGAAGAAGCAAGTAGAAGAAGAATTTCTATCATAGCGAGGAAAAAGTTGTTTTTAGAAAAGTGTCGGAATAAAATTTTAGTTACAATTAAAAATCATATTATTTAACATATTATGTTATCTCTTTAACGACTATAAGTGTACTTTACCCTAACATAAAAGAAAACTTAAGAAGAATGTTTCATCTACAAAAAGAACGTCAACTTAAATTCCTCGGAAAAAAGAACGTCAACTAATTTCATAAATAAATAAAACAATCACTAGCATTGTGGAAGATCTGCAGGCGGAGGAGGCAAGGTTGTTGCCGGAGTTGGTCCGTTCTCAACGACGAAGGCTGTGTCCAAGCCTATTGACAAGTGCGCGTCAAGGTGGCAATGCATAGACCATACACCTGATGAATTGAAGCAAGAATTAATCTTGAGTTCAATATCTTTTCAATGCTTTCAGATGGGGTTAGACTTTAGAAAAAGAAAAAAATATTTCAGAAAACGATCACTTGAACTATCAATTTTATCTCCATTGTTAACCTAATTAAACCTAATCCAAATATATACACACGTGTGAACAGTGACAACTGCAAGTATTTGTTATCCATTATGTTATTAATATATATGTGCATAACTTAAAAAATATTTTTACATCATATGTGTGTGAGAAACTCCCTTGACATGGTCTCAACCTCACATGGAGCTTACCGTGTCAAGTTAAATAAAAAAAGTAAAAGTAAATGAAGTTAGAAAAATAACCTGGATTATTAGCCAAGAATCTGATGACGGCCCATCCTCCAACAGGAACAGCAATAGTGTTGCGCATTTGGGGGTCGAAAAGATTGAACTGGTTTGTATCTGTGGCAGGGTTATAGTTTCCGAACCCTTGAGCCATTACATAGAAATCAAAGCCATGGAGGTGCATGGGATGATTTTCCACTCCATTAATAGCTGTGTTCTGCAACACCATTTCCACAGTGGAGTTGAACTTAAGCTTGGTAACCTTGGTTCCTTTTGGAGCAAATAGCATAGGTAGGTTGTTGTTGATGGCTAAGTTTGTGTAATCAAACTCAATGGGAGGCTTGGCAGGAAAATCGGTGGTGTAAACTCCTCCGACGTTGAAGTAAAAGGCTTGCAACATAGACAATCCAGTAGGTGGCACGAAGGATACATTGTTCATGCTGGCCGACAGCTTTGTTCCATTTGGACCCTGGCAAGTTGTGCTTGATGGGCAGACTTCGAGCGCCAATCCAATGGTGACGAACATTTTATGGTCCACTTTAAGCGGGACAGGGTCCCAGTGAGGCCCACCGACCAAACTGGTAAGGTTGGTATAAAACTTATGAGCCGTGGGGGTGTCATTGAACGCAGGTAAGACAGGCATTAGCGGCTTTGTTGAAGATGGTGCACCGTCGTAGACGATGACACCCCTCGTTGTAGTATTATCAAATGGTAAACCAACTGCACTTGCATAAGCTCTTGCGGCCATGTAATACGAGCCAATCGGCTGATCCGCCGTTAGCAAAACGTCAACCGTCTGCCCAGGTGCGATAGCCACCACGTTGGTGACATAGGGGTTGGTGTAAGAAGCATCAACGGCCACAACAGTCATCTTATGATTGGCTATCTTATAAAATAGCTGGTTGTTGAGTGCAGCGTTGATAATTCGTAAGAGATAGGTCTTCCCTTGCTCCACCTTAAGCTTGTACATTTCTGTTAATCGAGAACCATATAATTAAATTAAGAATTTTATTTATATCCGATATATTAATGATATAAATTCATATACTTACGATGTCCAGAGCATGGATAGAGATCACCGGGCCATCCATTTATTGTAAAAGCATCAGAAACATTAGGACCGCCGCCAAGGGCTAGAGCCTCGTTTTGGATATCGATGATATTAGCATTCCACCACTCACCTGCAACCGCATTACTATTTTTTAGCTAAAAGTCTAGAGCCCCATTGGAACATAATTAATGAATGTGATTGTAAAATCTTAGGTTCCCTGTAGCTATATATACCTAATAGGATGGGAACTTCTCTGTAGGGCTTTGGGAATGGGTAAGAGTTGTGAGCTCTGGGGCGGATGATGAGTGCACCATACACAGTAGCACGGAGCACAGAGGCATGAGCGTGCCACCAAAGGGTTCCCTCCTGTTTAACGATTTTGAATTTGTAGGCATATTTGTTTCCGGAACGTATTGGACACTGAGTCACCATGCTAGGTCCATCAGCCCAGGCACTCAGTTTCTGAAAAATCCCATGCCTGGTATAGCAGTCATCAGCAAATGGTTAAAATATGATGCACTTGTTCGTAGCCATATTGTATTATACCAAGTAAAAAAACCTTTCTTTTGAATTGATAAAACCAAACCCAATATGACCAAGTATGGACATTGATGTTTTCGTCAAGACAAAACATTTAAGAATAAGTCTAATGATAATGTCACAAATGAACAAGCAAATTTTGACATTGTTTACCAGTGAATAGTCAAGTCGTAAGGTGACTTGTTATGGACATGAACAATCAGTATGTCACCCTCTCGAACTCGGATTCTGGGACCAGGGAAGCTACCATTTACTGCTGTAATCACCTGGCGATTGCATAGCCTATTAACAGTCAAATTTCTCACCTGCAAGCAAAGTTAAATTCCATTATCTGCCCATACGCTCAAACTGTAATGGCTAAAAGCATATTGGAACGTGAAGGGTGTGCTTAAAAGCCATGTCGATTACATGTAATGTGTGCTCCACTATTCTTGCACCAGATGCCGTTAAAGCAGCCACCAGAAGAAGCAAAGAGCAAGCAAACAAGTAAACAAGGCGCCCCATTTCGATTGAAGGGCTCAAGGTAACAAAATTCTTTGCTAGGTGTGAGAGGCAATGGGTAAAGAATGAGTTTTCAATTTATATTACAAGTGCTGCGAGGTTTCCTCGTGAAACAATCGTTATTTAACGTAAAGAAATCATATTTTTTCTTTGTAATAAAGTTGTCAACGTCATCCTACAATATCGAAGTTAAATATTAAGGGCAGGCCATAGCTTTGGCATAACAATTGCTTAACAACCGAGTCAAAACGAGTGGGGAAATATAAAATTGCAAGTAAATTAAAGCAGAAGTCATATGAAAGAATCTTGGTTGTTTTAGTCAATCCTCTAGAAATTGATAATCCTGATGCCCCTCGCTTCCTTTCTTAACAATGGGGCTATCTTATTTGGATTGAAGTGCAATTTGAGGCAGTTAAAGCATTAGTAGTGCAACGAATACAATGAACTCGAATGTGGATGTGAACAGTCATGCTTCGTGCAAATGAAAGTTCACTATAATATTCAATTTTCGTCTAACCTATATTTAATAAAATCCAAACATTTTTATTGAAGCAGATTTTGAAGTCCGATACATCAGCTGATTTGTACTAAATTTTATTCTAATTTTTTTATTAAAATAAACTGAACTAGAACTCCGACAGCGGCAGCTCCGAAGCATCAACACACGTCCCATTAACGTTGATGTTCTGTGATGGCTTAATCCAGCGGGACGGAGGAACAGACTGCCTAGAGGCTGGATCAAACACTGAAGCTTCATATTTTTTATCAAAATTTCAATTTAAAAATTGTGTTTTAATATGTATTTTTTATTCAATTAATTTTTGTTTATTCTGATTATCTACATTTTTTATTAAAAAAAACTGATGACCGAGTAATGAGAAAACCTACACTATTTGACTGAATCCAAGTAGAGTATAGGAAGACGTAAAACATTGTTATTGATTAACATCATCATTTTTGTTATATGAAAGCAGGTCATCTTCAAAGCTCAAAACAATGTGATGTATGGTAGGAATGGATAAGGGCGGTCGAGGACAATTTTAAAAATTTTAAATTATCATATATTTTAGATATTTTTTATATTTTCTATTAATAATTTATTTTTAATTTTTTAATTTTATAAATTCAATTTCTCTTAAAATTTTAAAAATACATCCCGTCAGATATAAAATTTTACGTCATTATTTAGATATAATAGGAAATCGGTTGTATATTCTTAGATGGCAGCGTTGACAAATGGTATGTGGTTTCCCCAGATAGAGCAGAGCCTGGTCACTTTGCCTTGGGATCAAAGATATTCATATATTGTGACTTAAATTAATATAATAACTTCTCTTGATCTCTTCTACGCTTAAGAAACGTGTGATTTAATTTTTGATTTTTTAATAATAGAAAGATTAAAGGCATTATAATAATTTATTCACTCGAAGATAAGAATGATTATATATGTCTTTTTGTAGAATATCAAGTAATTAAGACGGAAAATAATTGAAAATAATAAGAGCATCATCTGGTTCAGTTTCGTAATGAAATCTGTTAGCTTTCTAATAAATTTTCTTGAAATGTGTTATTTAATTTAATTGCATCCTTTTTCCCTAATGTTTCAAGTTTGAAGACATAGTAAAACTTAAATTTGACATCAATTAACTTTATATACGTATATAGTTAGGATCCATTTATATTACGTAAAAAAATTAATTTTACATATGTATATAGTTAGGATCCATTTATATTACGTAAAAAAAATTAATTTTACATATATTTAAGATAATTTAATGAATAAAAATAAATAGTTACGATTAATTTCTTATTTAATTATCAATATCTATGACTTTGAGTTACCTATTTATGCGTATTATGGCTTGATTGAATAATTCAAACTCCATTGACTTTTAACAGCACATTTAATTAGTTTTAGGATAAAGTATAGTAATGGTCACTGAACTTTTTTGAAGCTTGCATTTAGGTCTCCCAACTTTTAAAATTTGTAATACAGTCCTCCAACATTTAGTCCGTTTGCAATATGATCCCTGACATAACCGGCCGTTTGACGCCGTTACACTGCCGTTAGTAAATTTGCAATATGGTCACTTAACTTTTCATGCGCTTACATTTAGGTCCCCCAACTTTTAAAACTTACAACATAGTCCTCAATTTCATTCTAAACCCCAAATTCCAAAATAATTCAATTATATTTTAAACCCCAAATTCTAAAATACTTTAATTTAGGGTTTAAAATGTAATTAAAGTATTTTTGAATTTAGGGTTTAGAATGTAATTGAAGTGTTTTGGAATTTTGAACATAAATTTGCTATTTGACAATGTTTACTTTAATATAAATTTGAGGTTTGTTGCATGCACATCCAACGGCTGCCGCACTTTGAATATGAAAAGTGCACCTATCACGTTTATTGCATAAACCGTTGAAGTAAAAGTAACAAGGGCAATTTGTCTTGTTCGTAGCTGATGCACTTTGGTATGACAATCCAATAGGTTTGGATGGAACTTGAGCATGCAAATCCAACGGTTGCGAAAATAGTAAAGAGTTTTAGTTCATAGGACTACAACATACAGCCAAGCAATAACTAAAATAAACCAAGACTATCAATTAATAACTCATTCAAAAGGAGGACTTAATAAATAAAGGGAAAGATGTTCTAGTCACTCCAAAAGCTAAGGTGTCAAATGGGTTGTTTAAGATAGACATTAGATGTCAAATACAATATTACCAGTTGCAAATGCATTAATGGCCCACCCTTTAACATATAATTGCTTCTAATGCTCCATGTTTAATGTTCCTCAATAGCCAATCATAATGAGAATATAAAGCAGATAGCGAAACTAAAATCATAGGACCCTATAATTCTTGTAAATTCATGGCATGTCAGCAATAAAAGACATTGTAAAACATAGAGGACACAACAACCAACATATATATATGCCAGAAATGAAGGTGAAAATGTGCAATAATCGGACAATATATCAAGTAGCTGCTCCAAATATACTACCCTGCCATGATGCCTTTCGAGTTACGTGCATGCAAAATTGTCTTCTAAAGCTATAATTCAATACATATTCAACTGTAAAATTTCCAAAACATGTAAAAAATCCAGGTCGTTCACGATATATCAGTCCCATAATCAATATGAACTTATTAAAAAGAATACGAGCTCATAGGACGCCGAAAACCACAGGTCGAATCAATATAATTCCCAGTAAACTAGTACCAGCCGTCTCTCGGATTGAGCCTGTCGATTTCACTATGTCTATACTCACAACCAATTCCCTGATTTAAAGAAAAATATAACAAGAAGATCAAAAAAATTTAGCCTAGGACCCTCTTTCACTATATTCTGATGGACTGAATATCTTTCATAAGGAGTACTAAAAGTTTTGATTAAGAAGAAAGAAAAGAAATTAGATGGTTTTGGTTCAAAACTAACACTGAATATCCAAATCATTGACATACAGTTCCATAAACATAAAAATTTCAACAAAAAAACACACAATGCGATATGAAAATGGGAAATTGCAAAAGAGGAAAAACTTACTTCCAGATAGCCCAAAAGAGAAAATAAATACCTTCTTGCAAGTGAGGGGAGAGGCTAAGAAATAAACGCAATCGGTGTTGCGTTCCATCAATTCTTCCTCCATTTTTTCTTTGTAAATAAAAAGCTAAAAGACAGAGCACTGCTTGGGTTTACAATTTTACATGGCGGAAAACTGAAGAACAAAAACCAAACGAGAGTGCAAGTGAGCGAAAAAGACTGAGAGGTGAAGGCGTTGTTTGGGATTTCATTATATTTGATCATTTGTTAGAAAATCTTTAACCACAGGGATTAAACGAAGAAATTATTATATGTCATTTATACAAAATAATTTCAACTTTGTTGATGACTTTCAACAATGATACTTAGTTTATCTTCGTAGTATTTGTCAACTATGCATTTCTAACCCTATTTTTTTCTCACAAGAATTTCATCGAACATCTATGCTTCACCTGAGATGACATGTATCTAACATTATACCTTGAATCGTTGATGGTCCCGATAGTCCCTTGGTCGTGTCTTCTCTCAATGGACCCTTATTCAAGTCAACACCTCTACAGAATTCAAAGTTAGATTAGAATTTCTCATGCATCCCCGATTGAAAAGTTACGCTGAAAATGAGAAGAGATAAGCGAAAAAGGAAATTTGAGATTAAAAAGGAATTTAGGGTTTAGAATAAATTGAGGAATATGTTGCAAGTTTTAGAAGTTGGGGGACCTAAATACAAGTGCCTGAAAAGTTCAGTGACCATATTGCAAGCGTACTAACAGCAATGTAACGGCGTCAAACGGCCGGTTATATCGGGGACCATATTGCAAACAGACTAATTGTTGGAAGATTGTATTGCAAGTTTTAAAAGTTGAGAGACCTAAATGTAAACTTTAGAAAAGTTCAGTGACCATTACTATACTCTACCCTTAGTTTTATCATAGAAATTGACGGACTTAAAGTTAAAAAGGGTTATTTTATCCCATAAAATATTCAAATGAGTAATTTGTTTTTTTTTAATCACATTAATTTTACTTTTGAAAGTCATTCAATTATATAACAGGGACGCTTAATAAGTTAATTGATTCTTAAGTAGTTAAAAATTGGCTCGTCAAAACTTGGCCAATGTTTAGTTTAGATTGATTTGACTCAATATATTAACAAATTGAGTCGAACAAAGTCTAACTAGACTCAACAAGTCGTGAGTAGTTCGTTAATTTTTTTATAATTTTTTTAGTATAAACCTTAAAAAAACTATTTCATTGAAAAAGAAAATTTAATTAATAATTAATAATTTATTAATTTTCTATAAAACATAAAGAAAATACTAAATTATTAATTATTAATTTATTAGAATTTATATATAATTTAAAAAATATAGTAAAAATTTTGATAAACTTAACGAATAATAAATAACAAGTCAAACAACGGATAATAAAAATGAATTAATCAAAATTTTATGAAATGTTCCACTATAATATACAAATGAGAAAATAACCTCAGTGAC